GAACTAAGTCCTCATTGTAGCCCTGCCAGGTAGGTGCTATCACATCTGCTTACAGGAGAGGAAAGTGCAGCTCAGGGAGGTACAGGAAGTGCCTGGGTTACATGGAGCTAGTCAGCTGGCATAGCCAGAACTCACTCCAGGTCAGCCTTTGCCCTTTCCCTGCAGGAGGCCAACTCTCAAAACCCAAAGGACTTTCCCATATTATTTTGATCCTTGAGCCCCCCTCACCAAGGCTGGGCTTTCCTCCCTAGCAGCCCCCTTCCCATCTCTGTATACCCATCTGGGTTATAGCACTGAAGAAGATTGAGCAGCCATACCTTGCAGGTGCAGACAGCACACTTAATTAAGCCAAAAGGCGGCACAACGGGGTGCCACCGGGTACCCGCTGCCCGCCAGCTTCGGTCACCATCAAAATAGCAGCCTGGTGGGGGACAGTTCCCAGCTGCCATTAGTACTGAGCTCATTGGCTGGATCCAAAACCAAGACTTGAGTCTCAGGTCAACCCCACACCATCTAACCCCAGGGCCCAGTGGCAAGCCAGTAGCTATAATAAAGCCTATCAGGTGTCACTGGAACCTGTGTCCCTCAGCCTTCACCCCCACCCATATATACTCTCACCCTCCTGTTCCTTCCTGGTCCCACTCAACAGTTCCTCTTGGTTCCCCACCCTGGCTCATACACTGACAGCTCACCCTCTCCAGGGTCCCTGCTCCTCGGCATCCCTGGCAGGTCTCTGACATCTTGTTTCTCTGTGGAGCCAAAGAAATAGTGAAGGCAGAGGGTGACACCCCCCTTCCCTCCCTAGAAGCTCCATGGCACTCACCAGGGCACACAGGGCAGCACTGGTCTGGCACCTGCACTGGGCTCGGACAGCTAAGCAGCGGGCACACCACAGGGTCACAAATCACCGTGCGTCTCTGCAGGGAGAGGTGGGAGGTTGACTGGAACCCTTGCCCAGAACCCAGGCCCCAATGCACCCTTCCAGGGTCTCCTACCTGGCAGGTGCAGAGTGAGCAGAGTGGGTCATAGTTAGGTGCCCAGCGAGCCCCATGGGGGCGCTGCTGCCCCTCAAAGAAGCAAGTGTTGGGATCTCGGGCTCTCCAGGGGCTGCCGGGTTTGACAGGCGCTGGGGCATCAGGGCCAAGCACAGCAGGCAACACGGGCAGTGCAGCTGCAGCTGTATCGGAAGCCCCAGGCTTCCTCGCCTCCTCGGCCCCTGCCTCTGCCAGGCGCAGGCTGCCCACCTCGCATTGGTTGGTGATGTGCACCTGGGAGGAGAGGTGGGCTGAGGCAGCACCCGGGCTCCCCCTTGCGTCTCCACCAGCAGCAGCCAGACAGCCTGGGCAGAGACACCTCATCCCCTGAGTGCCCCTGCACCCCAGGAGAATGCTATTCATCACGGCAATCATCTGGCTGCCAAGGACAGGGTGGTCTGCTGCCAGCCTTGTTATTTATGTGCCTTGAATGGCTTCACCCTCCCAAGCAGCAAAGAAGTGTGACATTACCACCCCCAGGGTTTGAAGAGAGCAAATGACACAGGCACACAGCCCAACTCTGACCCTTCCCCACAGGCCCACACTGCCTGCCTACCTGCCCTCGAAGTTCCCCTTGGGGGCTCCCCTTGGTGGTGATCAGCAGGGAGGCGGTGCCCTGTGCCAGGTGCCGCAGCAGCTCAGGCTCCAGGTCCTTCACCACACCCTGGGCCTGTGAGTAGACAGGATAAGGGACGGAAACAAGGCCCTCTAGGGCTGAGCCTACTGTTCCCAATTTGCAGATAAGGAAACCGAGAGTCAGGGAGATTAAATAGTCTCTGGGATAGCAAAGCCCATTAGCAATGGTATGGAGCTCAGAAGCCCAATCTCTCTGACACCAAGTCCATGGCAACCCACCCCACTCCTGGGGGCTTGGTCATCCCACCTATTCCTCCAGAGGTCCAGGGTCCCACCAGAGAAGGACACAGGAAAGAAAATGAATAATAAAAGGCTGGGTCACATTCACAGCCAGGTCTGTCTTACTCCCAAGCCCATACCAGCTCTGCCATACCAGACAGCCTACTCTCCGCTTACGCGCGCGCGCACACACACACACACACACACACACACACACAGCCCTTTAAGCTAAAAAGCAGATATTTTCCAAACTGCCACCCACCATCACATCCTCACCTCTGGGCCATAGAATCCCTTCAGCAGCCGCCGGGGCCCTGGCATCCCAGGGTGACCAAGGAGGTGCGCAGTCACGGTGCCCTGTTCTGAGCCACCAAGCCCAGCCAGCAGCACTTCATAGTGCAGGTGACAGTGGGTATCCAGGGAGAGCCAGGCATGCCCTGCTGCCTGACTCTGCACAGGCGGCAACGCCAGGGCTCCTGCCAGGGGCACGGGCAGTGCTGGATCCAGACAGAGAAGAGGTGACAGATGAGAAGGTGGCCTAGAGCAGCCACTCAATCAATCCTGGCATTCCCCATGTCCCCAGCACAGACTCCATGAGCTGGCAGACACTGTCCATAGGCCCAGGGCTGAGAGAGCAGCAAGTGTTAGACCCCTGCACCACGGCAACAGGGAGGGTCTCCTGGGAGGGCCACCCTTTACATCCCACGTATACATCTCCAGATGCAAACCTAAAGCTCAGGCAGAGAAAGACACACCAGGCTCTGGCCCTCTGACACCATCTCTCACATGCTTGAGTCACTGATTAGAGGACAGCAAAGGGCAGGCAGACCCCTGGGGCACTCACTACCATGGTGGGTGCTATGTCCACTGTAGGGGAGGGCAGCCACATGCCCCCGCAGCTCTCCCTCTGGAAAGTCCTTGGTGGCCACGTTCAGGAACAGCTCATTCTGCAGCAGCATATGAGCCCCTCGGGCACCCAGCCTAGGGCAGACACCCACAGCCTAGGGGAGAGTAAAGGGTGAGCCCCAGTTGCAGCCTGCCAGATCCCAGACAAACCCCTTCTCGGCTTTCACACAAGCCCAAGATTCTGAAGCCTTTCCATGTTTTGTGCTCCCACTACACCCATACATACTTCCACATACCCAGAACACTGCACAAGAAACTTGCAGGCCCAGGTTCAAGTCCCTTCTCTGCCACTTCCAACTTATGTTAACCTCTCTGATCCTTCACTTCATCATCTCTAAAATGGGTACTATGAGGGCCAAAAATAATATAAGTAAGGCAGCCAGTATAGTATGTGGCACATAGAAAGGCTCAATAAGTGGCAGCCATTACTCTCACAATTAGCATATGAACTCTTGCACTGATCTCCCTGTCTAACTCCTCTCATTTGACATGAACTTGCTGAAGACAGGGGCTATGTCTGATTTCCTTTGTACTCTTTGGCCTGAGCCTCATTAAAAATGTGTCCAGTGAATCAATGCATCAATGAGAGAGCCTGTGAGTGAGCGAATGATGCTGAACCTATCTGCTAATCCAACCTAGCTTCCCACAGCCCCTGCATTGTGGCACATGGGCCCTGTGGCCCAGCTTTGCCTCTAGCACTCACCGTGTGTCCTCTCGGCTGGAGTCCAGCCATGTGGCACAGGACAGTACGCTGGTCCCTCCGCTGAGGCTTGGTCTCCAGCGTCATGGACACCACCTCACTGCCTGTACCTACTACTTGCACCTGGTGGGCAGGGTTAGGGAGGGCAAATTGGAGTGGCAGAGAAAGCCTGAGGCCTGAATTGCAGGCCAAATCTCCACTCCACCCTACTGTCCTTCTACCTCCTGCAGCCCCCGACTCTTACCTGGTAGATTAGGGAGCCGTTTCCCAGCAGTGTAAGGCTGGCTGAGCCAGCCGCACCTGTCTGAACTGGTATCAGGGCATCTGCCCCGCAAAGGACACTTTGCAGGACTGCAGAGGAGCAAGACAAGTGGAGGCAGGCTGGCCCCATGGCCATTCATACCCCAACCCCCAGGATCCCTCCCACACCCACCCTGGCCCTGCCCCTGGCACTTGTTTGTGCCTCTCAGATGTGTGTTCCCAGAATGCCAGGCTCCACCCTGCCTCACCATCGCAGCTCTGCCTGGCAGCAATGTGTCCACTGATACGCAGCCCTGGGCCACCTGCCCTCTCCAGGGCTATCTGCAGCTCCCCCAGCACCAGCCAGTCCATCTCCTGGGCTGTCAGGTTGGGCAGCACCTCAGCGAAGCCTGGGTTCTAGGGACAGAGCAGGATATGGTGGGTGCAGCAAGAGGCCAGAGCAGGTGGCAGCAAAAGCCAGACCTTCGCTCACCTGGGCTGAGGCATTGGCCTGCAGCTCTCGCAATAGCTGCCCCTGGTGTAGAATCTGGAGCCGCAAGGGAACCTGGGCTGGTCCTGAAACAATGGTACATGTGGACACCTCCGAGAGCTAGATTTTCTCCCTACCCTCCTCACATGCCCTCCCCATATCCCACTCACCCCCACTCCTGGATTCCAGCAGCCCACGGAAGAGCAGCAAAAAATGCAAGGAGTCCTCCGTGTCACTGAGAGTGAGTAGGGCAATGCCCCCTATGCCCTGCTGTGGGCTGCCTTCCAGGGTCAGGATGGCACTGAAGGTCTCTAAGGGAGGGAGGACCGTGAGAGCCCATCAGAAAGTTCCCTTCTCATCCCACTCCATTCCTTGGGCTAGAGAAGACAGAACTTTATGCCCAGGGGCTGTTTGCTCCCCTCACCTGCAGCCAGAGCCCGGTGCCGGATGAGAGGCCCCCAGACCTCCCCTGAAGGATGAGTGGGTGTCACAAGTGCCACATGTAGCTGTTCTGCCCGAAGGAGCCTCAGAGACAACCGAGGCACTGCTCTCCACACCCCACAGACCTGGAGCAGAGAGACAAGACGACCCTACTCAGTATGTAGGACAGGCCAGCTAAGAGGTGCAGCTCTGGCGAAGAAGGAATATGAGAAGGAGCCCCCGGCCTTCCTGGGAAGCGTAAGAAGGAACCCTGGATCCAGATGCTAGGGTTCAAATCCTGGCTCCACCACCTACTAGCTGTGTGACCTTGAGCAAGTTACATTCTGCTCCTGAGCCTCAATTCCCTCATCTGTAAAACAGGCATATATTGTCAGTGCCTTCCTCCCACCGGACTGTGGTGAGGACTGAAGGAGACAATGCAGAGCACACTCTCAGACAGTGCCAGACTGGATAAACACATAAAGAGCATCATCTCACCAAGCCATCTTGGGTAGGGGCTGCAGGGTGTTCAAACAGGATGCTGCCGCTGGAGTCGGAGAAGCGGACTCGGGTTGGACGGTCCAGCCTGGGAATGCGGGTGAGGGAGAGCGTGGACTCGGAGCCTGGGCCAGAAGCAGCCCCTCCAGCCTCTCCGAGGTCTCTCCCGCGGCGGCCGGCCCACCCCTCCTCCCTCCTCCCCCTTTCTCACAGCCGGTGGGAGATGGAGAAACGCAGGCTAGAGCGCAGCAGTATCACTCGGGCCCGTGCCACCGCCTGCGACCTCGGCCCTGTCAGCAGCGCCACAAAGTCTGCGAGAGGAGGAAGATGTCCCTAGCACCCTCACCCGCTGTGGCGGCCAGGCCAAAACCACCGCCCCAGTCCCCGCTGGGTCCCTGCCTACCCGTGTGGCCATCCCCACGCGCCCGATCCTCAGCGCCCGGCTCCCCGCGGTCGCTGTAGCTGCGGTGCTCGGGGTCCCGCGGATACTCGAAGGCCAGGCCCGTGGGCTGCCTCTCGGGACCGCCGCGCTCTGCGCCAGGGTGGGGGACACGGGCTTCAGCTGCGCACTGGGAGGACCAATTGGCCGCTACATTGGCTCCATCTGCCCCACACGAGAGGCTCGGGACCAAGTCCTGCAGCCGTGCCGCCCTCCGCTCACCGCAGGACGGTCCTTACCCGGGGGGCAGGTCTGGCAGCAGTGGCCAGGCAGCTGGCGCGGCTGTCCGCAGGACAGGGCTGGGCACTCGGGTTTAATGTTCTTGCAGCTGACCTTGCCCGGGCCCCTGGCGCGGCGACCCCACTGAGGCTGCTCGCGGAAAAGACAGGAAAACGGAGCGAGTGTGGGACACCAGCCCCTAGGACCCAACGAGTGGC